AGGTTTTTAGCATTATGTTCCATAATTAATGACATTTCCTTTGAAACTGAATATTCCAGAAAATAATTATAACCACTTTATAATAACACAAGCAGAACCACTTGAAAATAAAGAATCCATGTGCTACACTAGTCCACTCCTTGTTTCCAGTTTAAGACTTAACTTTAATTACAAAATGAAGTAGTAGTCTTGCTCCCTCTCCCCGTAGATATAAACTGATTTTCTTATTTTTGCTTATGTTCTTATTTTTTCTGGACTCTAATTTGATTAATTTGAGGATGTATTTGATCTTGTGAATCCTGAGGAAGTGAACAGCAGTTTACACTGTGGCCCTTTCTGATTGGTGAAAACTTGTGGGGAGGTGACAGGAGTTACGTTGGGACAATAGTGAATTCATCTTTGAGAGGTGAGGTATTAGTACCCTCTTTGAAACCTTCTTCTTCACGAAACTATAATTTCGTCTGATATACTGGACAATTTTTGTGGGAAGGCGATAGAGAAAGTGAATGGATTGCATAGTAATAGGTCATCTTGAGAAGACTGAAATTGAGGCAGAGTGACCTTCATGCTTCTGTTTGATCTGTCTGTAGCTTTTGATAGCATCAATCATGATATATTTTTGAGATATCTCAGGGGAATGTTAGAAGCAGGGGGGCATTGTTTTCTCCTCCTTTCTAAAGGGACAGCTTCATTTAGTATGGTAGGAAAAGACTGAGACCTGTGCTCTCCTCAATTGTAGGATGCCACAGGGCTCACTGTTCTCCTACTTCTGTTTACTATATACATCAGTGGTGGGTTCCTACTGGTTCGGCCCGGTTCAGCTGAACTGGTACTGGTTTGGTGACCTGGGTCACTGGAACCGGCAGTGATCCAGGCCTGCCACTCCCCCAAACCGGTTTTCCCTTGTTTTTGGCTTCTGAGCATGCACAGAAGCATTTTTATAGTACTACGCCTTTGAACGCTGTACGACCACAAGCAAACCGGCAGTAGCAGCTGCCGGAACCCACCTTGATACACATAACACTACAGCAAAATCTGTTGATACAAGCCTAGATTTTATTGATATGTTGATGATAACTTGACCCCCGATGATCCTGTCAAAGTGCTCCCCACTTTGAAGGTTGACTGGTCTGAATGGGGAGGAACAAGATTCTCCATCAGCAAGATGGAGTGGTTTGGGGCTTGAAGGCCTAATAATTTCAGTGAGGTTCGATTGGTAGATCTGGAAAAGATTGCATTTTCCTAAATAGAGCTGATTTTTAGGAGGATAGGGATGCTCTTGTATTCATAGCTCCTGCTTAAAGAGCAAGTGATAGCTGTGGTCAGGAGAGCTTTTGCACAGCTTTATGTTGTGCAGCAATTGCAGGCTTTTCTGGAAGGGAAGAAATTAGTCTTAGTCATTCGTGCCTGAATTACCCCTTGATTGGACTACTATTGCAATGCATGCCATATGGGGTGCCCTTAAAAATATTTGGAAACTGTAACTGGTTCAGAATACGGTAGCAAGACTAGTTTTAGGTATATTTTATGTCCCCCACAAGACATCTCTACTGCAAGAACTGCACTGGCTGCCATTTAGCTTTCAGGTGCAATTCAAGATGCTGACTATCACCTTTAAAAGCCGTCCAAAGTTCATGGTATATTTAGGACTGCTTTCTCCCAGTATATCTATCCTCTACAACAGTGGTCCCCAACCCCCGGTCTGCGGCCCGGTGCCGGGCCGTGGAGTACCTGGCACCGGGCCGCGCAGCCATGATCGCTGCAGCTGGGCGCCGTGACTCTTCTGCTGCGCCAGCCGCTCCTCTTCCAGCCGCTCGCCCAGCGCGCAAAGCTCCCGGCAGCAGCGCCACAGCTCCTCGAGGCGCCGGCGGCTCTCCTGGTTCTGCGTGCGCAGCTTGCGCGGGTCCTGTTG